GGTATGGTACTTTTCATGGCATGTTACTCCTGTGGTATGTACCTTGGGTTACCACGCGGATCTGGAAAGCCATACGATTGCTGAAAAACCTGGAAAGCTTTTTGCAGCTTTTCGGTCGACGCGCACCCTTACGCTCCCCTACTCCTAGCTGCATTGCCAATAAAAGGCTTGATACAACGTACCAATCATCTCTCACAAACCATGGGCTATACTGACCACCAGAATGGCTTGAGAGGATTCGGCTTACCCCCTCAGACCAATGAGGGGGCTAACACCTCCGCAAGATCAGAGTTATATTCAGCGTCCCATTGTGTATTCACCACTGACCAGAGAATGCCTCTTTTTCGTTTGTTAAGACTCATTGCATTGGTGAGTTCGAATTTGACCCTGAAATGCCCATTCAATGGTCTGGAGTGACTCACCTTCACTGCAGCCTCCAACTTCTCAGCTCGACGAGCAGCCAGGACGACTTTGGCGCCCTGGCCCGCGAGAAAGCGGGCAAACGCGAGGCCAATCCCGGAGGAAGCCCCGGTCACGAGCGCGACCTTGTCCTCGACGGAGAACAGCTCCCCGTAGGGGCTGCACTTCTTGCACTGCGCCATTGGTGAATCACTGCAACTTGCCCAGCTGAAAGTGGATTGCTGATCAGGTTGTAACGGGCTGTAAGCTGGGACAGAATGCAGCTGGGCGTTCAGATGGCCTTGGATATACTAGTGCGCTTGAAGGGGGGCTGGAAGAGGCGGGGAGTGCAAGTGGGGAAGGAGTGGACTAACGTGGAAGTTCGTCCGAGCTGAAGATCAACCGAGCTCTCAAGAGTTTTGAAGTACCGAGTTGCAAGGTGTCCCTCTTATACTCTCCCCGTACCAGCCTATAGCGGGTCTTATTGCTGATGACTCTCCTTTGACCCCCAGCTACGGTATGCAGTTCAGAAGGCAACGCAGCCAGCTGCTACATCAGAAGAGGAGCGCGGCAGCTGCGGCATCCCGGTCTACTTATACTCTTAATATTATACTATCAAGGTAGGGCGGTCTTGGGGTATCTGGATACCTAGCAATTCCAGTGCCAGGTGGAGCAGGCCGACAGTCGCCGACCGCCAAGTCCGTACGCCCCGGCGCCGCGGACAGCCTCGGCCCACGTGTCATTGTGACGCTCAATCAAAGTTCGTGCGCGAGCAAGTTATAGTCCATAATGTACTTACTACTGACGTCATGTACAGAAGTCGCATAGAAGTTTCGTGTGATGTAAGTGTGGACATGGTGCGCTGGTTCGCCGGTCCGTACTAGTGGTTTGTACCGTAAATATACAAGTACGTTCAGTCAAATATCGCGAACATTGTGTATATTGTCGAAAGACTGCAGAGTCCAGACTTACTTATCGCTCGACTCCCGAGCGCCCGGCACCGATGCCGGCTGTTTCGACGACAAAAGAGTTTTTTAATGTAGAAACAGGGCAATATTCTCCGGTACTAGGTAGCTGAGATGTGTGCAGAGAGGCAATAATAGGGTTACGTTTTGCGGGTTTCCTAGATTAGGGTTTCCACATCCTGCCAAGGGAATCTGCCACCCAATGCAGCAACACTGTCAGCAGGGGGGCAGCAGGGACTCGGGAGTCAATTGCACCTTCAAAGCTCATTGGGATCGATGGCGTCCTCCCGGCGTCCTCGTAGCTCTGCATCCAACAGAGGTCCTTCTTGGCCTCTGGATTCTTCTGAGTGCGTGCGTGGAGTGACTCTCCTTTGAATCTCTTTCGTCCAAATCAGTGCATTGACAACCGATCAGCGATGAATGGGTCAGGCGAATATCACATATCATTCCGATTCACAGAGCTAGGCGGCCGCTTTGTATGTCATGCAGAATGCGGTTTGGACATCTGCCTGCCAACGCATGGTCTTGCACCGAGCAATCTTCTGAAGCTTAGTGTGCATCGCTTATTCGCGCAATGGCAGACTCAAAACAAACTGCCGCATACTCATGCAAGATGCACGCAAGATGCGAAGCTATGAAAGATGCGCGTCTACTTTACAGCGGCGCCTAGGCTATGATTAATTACTCGCGACGCGTCCACCGCAATCAGATGCACGCATGCAAGCTCTCCGATCCGATGGTTATCGTTGCAATATTCAACAATATTGCTTGATTATTCAGGCAAGTTCTCAAATCGGACCGGTGCGTTTGATGCGAATTGATGAAAGAAACGGCCTCAGTGTGCCGCTGCAGGCGGCGCCAGCTGCGCGCGCGCTGATTCTGGCAAGGCTGCACAGGGACTCTACTCCCTATACAATGATAGGGCCGAACTTGATTAAAAGCACATGCTTGCAGAGCCAGCCGCCATATGCAGGTGCACGGCCGCCGTGAGTTTTGCATTCATTTCGTCATAAACGGGCGGCAAAAATCCGAGGCATGCACCATTTGGCGTTGCGTAAAAACGGCGTTTGAAGAGATCCCAAGTGTCACTAGAATTCCTTGTGTGCTAGCACGCACGATGATCAGCACGCTTGAAATACAATTGAAACTTGCGGAGGCTTTCATTGACCGTCCTCAACTGCATTGCTGGTCAATTTGTCGAATAAATTAGCAACTGACGAACCATAACTTAGACGAAACCTCTATCCCTCATCTACCGGTCCGTGCTCATATGCCAGGTCGACCTCTGTTCTTCTTTCATTCGCCGCAGAATAAATACGTCCTTTTACAAGTTGTGGCATCAGATTTGCACTGTGCACGGGACCTGCAAAACCTTTATGACAACGGAGAATCCGTCGAGTAGACCCAGATCGCGCTGATTTTGGGCTCATCTCGAGTCCCGGTCCCCCGGAAATAGACCTCCAAATTGGGGCCGTCCAATTGGACTGTTCTGGCTCGAACGGGCGCCGCCTTGAACTTTCCCCCCGCGTCCTTGAACGGATCGACGCCTATCGTCGCGCCCTCTTGAATGCCGAGGTACTCAATGTTCAAAACGCGCTGGCCGGGCTCATTGACGTTGAAAATGGTCGTGTCGTTGGGCGAGATCTCGGCGAAGAAGGTGTTGACACTGTAACGGCCTGCGGGGACCTGCCAGAACGGGAGAGAGTGCTTTGGTGTCAAAGTTGGTGTCAGATTTGACACGGAGATATGCAAGAAGCGCTGCGCTTGGCTTGCTCGCAAACAAATACCGTAGTTTGTGTTCGAAGATGAGATACTTAAGACTGCGGCCGAACTTGGACGATGAGGAGAGAAGCTGATGTGACAAAGTTCTCAAGACGTTTGCGACAGTTTGCGTTCGAGTGCCTCCAAGTTGTTTTGATCGGTTGATCTACCACGAAATTGCTTCTGTAATGGAACGACATGAATGTCGAACGAACAGATCGAAGGAAAAGGGCTTGGCTGAGACAAGAGCACCGGTTTATAAAAATCAAGGGATGACGGACATAAAGAAGATGGCAGACTTTCCAAACGCAAAATTTACTTACCACAATCAGGTAGTGGTTCGTCCCAATCCGCTCCGCCTGAAAGATCTTAGGGTCAGTAGTCCCGGTAATGGTTTGTTCGGTGGATGCCGCGAACCCCCCGTTCGCACCGTTATCGTCGAACCGGCAGTACGGCGCTCCGGGGGGCATGTCGCGGAGGTTGAGGCAGGGGGTGTCGTCAGCCTTGAACGTCACGCCGAACGTGCTGACGTAATCAGAGAAGCCTCCGCAGAGGACCGCAAAAGAGAATTTTCCGTTGTTGACGGCGGGTGGGGACTGGGACAGAACGGGGACGCCCGCGATCAAACCGGTCGCGCCTGTAAAACAATCGAGTATATTCTCCTTTGTCTTGTTTTGGTGAATATCATCTTCGGGAAGAAAGTACGAAACAACCCATCGGCCCCAAGTCTCTTCCGAGCTTTGAACTTTGAGAAGCGACTTCAGCAACTTCGTCTTGTCTTTTCCTGGGATCCAGAATGATAAGAACGGAAAAACGCGGTTTGCTCTCAACCTGCGCAGTTTACATCCTGGCCTAAAACCCATTTGCAGGATCCTGTGTAACTTGATGAGTGTGTTCGCTCGATATGAGGTGGCAAAGATGCGGGCCAGGATTTAGTCAGCATACTGTAATTACTGTACTCTACACAGCCTCTTCTTGCTTCCGAGAAATACCTCTTAAACGCGTGGGGTTGCAACACGCTATGCGACCCAATGACCCAATCATTCGCTTTTCGGCCTTCGTCATCGACGCTCTGAAATTACTCTCGAATATGCCGTACCCTCTTCGTTCTGGCTACTTGTCGAATCAATGGACCCGCTTCATGGAAATGAATATTTAAGATGAGGCAACGGAGATCTGTTCTTCAGACGCCACCCAACAAAATTTAAAAACCACTGAAGATCAGAGTTACCAGCCTCAGCGTGCACAAAGCTTACTCAGGCGTATGAGACGACTGACCGTATTTACAAGAGTCACATCTTTCGGTCTCGCCGTTCCGCGACTTAGAGACGTATGCCAGTCTGCAAGCTCCACCTGATGAGCTGCACAATATCTCAGTAATACCCCGCCGAGAAATTTCAAAAGATTGTGGCAGAACGTATCAAGAATCGACGGATCGAAGGGCAGCCTCACCTGACGGGAAGCTTCCCGCCTGCGACGGCGCCAAGAAACCAAATGCTGACGTGGCAGTCGGCGCGCTAGCCGGCCCGGCCGTAACTGCGGTAACCGCAGGCGACGGCACCGCTGTGCCTGCTGACGTGGCAGGCGCGACAGCTGGCGCGACCTGGGGGCTCGCAGCTGACGTCACCGGGGTTTGAAGGTTGGGGGCGGGGGCGGGGGCGGGGGCGATGGCGGGAATAGGCCCCGGGGCAGAGTGAACGAAAACTGCGTTGAGGAGGGGGGGAAGCGGGGACGTGCCGGCGAAGGAAAGGGTTAGGTTACCGCCCTGGGTTAGGTTGACCGGAACCTGGTCAAGAAAAAAGGAATCACGCAGGTTTAGTTTTTGATACCAAAGACTTGGGTCGGGCTGGTAGGTGTTTGAATACCGAGCGACTTGCGAGACCAATCACCGGCTTCTCGCCACCATTCCCAAAATTAGTCGGATCCTTTCAAAGCTCCCTCTTTTAGAATAGTAGCAAGCCAATTCTTAGTCGATGTCAAACTCTTCCTTCCACGGTGAAAAAACATGCAGCACATCAAGGGCGATTAGCGACCATTCTTTCATGGTTTACGGCGAACCTCCCTTTCAGGAGCCCACGTTTATCTTAGCTCATCCGATCGACCCTTCGTAGAGTTCAGCCACGATTCAACCGAACAACGCCCCCTCTTCGTCTTTTCGCACCTCCTGACCTCCAAGAGACTTCTACAACGCAGAGCACATTCAACCGAGAGGACAAAAGTGTGTGGTTAAAAGCTCGAATTCAGCTTATCGATGCTTCGATTTCGGTCTTCAAGTACCAATGGACGACTTCTTGTGGTTACTGCTAACCTGTAGCACGAGCGCTGTGAAGTTGGCCCCCGTCGTGGCGTAGATGTCGACATTGGGCGCCACGATGACGTTTTGGGCGGACACGTTGAACACGCGCTGTCCGGCACCTATGAGAGGAGGGATTTGCAATCAGGAACTGGGCTTTGAAAAGGTCGCCCTCGTATGGCAGTGCGTTCACGTGCCTCCAATTTGGACGAGATTCGAGTGCCAGACCGTGGGTGCACGTGCGTAAATTGACGCGTCGACATCTCGAAGACTTGCACTGACCAACGGCCAGACTGGCCGGGTGATCGGCTGACTGATTCTTCAAAGTCCTGGGGGAAAGTGGACATTTCAGAGGCTTGCACCGATTGAAGGCCACACCGGCCGCTTGAATTGCTAGTGACTTCGACTCTAAGAAAAAGAAGCGCCTCATATGGTCGACTGAAGCATCCAGTGACGTCACCTTTGCGACCCGTTGGGAAGATGCTGACGCCCCAGAGCCCAGAAACCACCGAACGTTCTTTAGAAGCTCTAAGTTTGGGAGTCCGAAACTTAATACTCGAAACTCCAAATGAATCCCACCTGACGCTACGGAGGCAGCAAACAATATCTGCGCGGTCCGACACCGTCAAAATGCGACAATCTTAAACCTCCAGAGTGTTACATTTTCATCAACTCTTGAAATCCGTAAATTTTCACACCCCCAGAACCTTACTCACAATAATCTTCGATGGAACTCACCGGAAGCGACGGGATCCGCAAAGTGTAGATCGACCAGGTAGGTCCCGGCGAGTCCCACGGGGAGGCTGTAGCTGAAGTTACCGGTGCGTCCGTTTTTGTACAGGTCGCTGTTTACCTCGGCCGACCGGTACGACGGGAGAGTGACGTTCGAGGCGAGGGAATAGTTTGTGCCACCTGCACAATCAGAAAAGTGCGCTTTCAGGATTGTCAGCATCTCAACCATTGTAAGCACATATTTGTAATGCACAGGCGCTTTTGTGACTAATTGTTGGTCGGTCGGTAAGAGCTTCTGTGAGAGCTCCTGAGAGTTGCTTGAGCATCTCCCATCCATTCCTACGACCTCGACATCCTCTCCTCGCGAGTGAGTATACCGAACAAAAAACAGAGGTTTGAAACCTGCGAAACTGCCTGAAAGCAAGAGTAGAGGGCTCATATTTGCCAGCAAAGATGCTGCGACTTGCATGAAGTCAGAAACGTTCAACCGGCCGACATGGTGTTGGCGGCTGCTCTTGATACTAATGGTGGATTGACGAACCCGGTGTAGGTAGGCCCCAGACTCGGTAAACCAAAAACCCTAAACCCTCGTCGTTGGACAAATGGCTCACCAGTGAAGTACTGGTCCCGGCTGAACACGATTCCCCGCCCCGAGAGCACGTCCTGCGGGGAGCCCGCCGCGACCGCGACCAATCGGGAGTTGCCACTTGGCACCACGTTGACGCTCGCCACCGTGGCGTTGCTGCCGTTCGCGCCGCGGAGGCCGATCGTCAGGAGACCGTTGCTGACGTAAGCAGCGGTGGTAAGCGAGCTCGCGTTGGCGGGGAGTGTGACGGGGACGCCCTGCGGGTGTGACGTCATCCGCTCTGGTTAGTGACATCATTGGATGGCCTTTCAACTCAGTCTCAATGAACTGGCTCTTATCTTTTGTCCTGTACGCTGAAGATCCACCTCACGATCCTCACGAGAAAATCGTTCGTAAGTGAGTTCGAGTCTTGCCGTGCAGAAGAGTACAACCCAAAGTAGTCCCTCGGTTTGGACAGGAGCCTCTTCAACGTAGCTTAGAACCTCTCGTCTTGTGCCACTTCAGAAAATCGTGGCTGGCTTTTCGTGGAGTCACTTTTGAACGCACAGTATAAGTCGCACTTTCAGGGGCTTAGCCAGTGACCACAACCCCTTTAGCCAATCAGTGCAAAATCCTGGATTTCGGTTACAAAGACCTCGAAGTTTGTTGAACACTGCCCTGAACTTTCGCTTAACCATGCTCTTACGCCTCACCTGGATCAGCACAATTGGCTGGCCAGTCGTGTTAAAAAGCCCAGTCCCGAAGTCGAGATCGACCTCGTAGTTTCCCCGCGCAAGGTTAAGGGCGTAACCAAAATCGGGACCCGTGCGAGCATCTTGCTGGGGGGTAGCAATGAAAAATTGGGCGGTGGAAAGGATTGTGGTGCCTGCGCAAGGACGGGGACTGATTAGCTAAACGCGTTGCTAACTCGACACGGGGTACTGTTTCAACTTTTTGACGGAGGATGCTGCAGTAGGACGGATGGAGACTAGCGGCCCAGAAAAAGTGGAGTTCCGGTCCAATGAAAGGCAACAAATATCCGACTCGACTGCTATATGCAAAAGACCGCTTGAAGGAGCCATATAAGTGGTACAGATCAGATCAACATGCTCCACGGTTTGAGGTGGGGTTAGGGTGGATTCTGGGCCGCTAACCTCGTTCCGCAGAGCATGTTGGTTCTGGGTTACGGTTTGCAATCTACGTGAGCCTGGGGAACCGATGCAACCCAATGTAGGCCTAAATCGCAAAGCTGAAACTTGAATCAACTCACTTGTCCCGTAATAGTACGCATCAGCCGTGTAATTTCCGATAGCGGCACCACCGGAGTTGATCGCGAAGCTCGTGGGTAAAGCCAGCGAGCTGTTTGACGTCGTGCTGTTGTCAGAGATGCGGATTGCGCTGATGCGGGCGGGCGCTCCGGCAGCTGTCAGGACAATACTGCAAGAGCCACGTGGCAACATGATGTCAGCAACAAATGAGAGGCAGCAGAAGTTATTGGAGCGACCGAGAAGGGGACCAAGTAGAGTACTTTGTAGGTTGTGCTGATGCAGAAAGTGCGCCGACTCCTGTGGAGAAGACAAGTGCCAGTCCGGCGTCACCCAAAAAGTAACATTCTAAGGGTCAAACCTTCACGGCCAGTTCGCTTCAATACTAACGCTCACTGTGCTGAAAGGGCTACACGAGGTGTTGAAGCAAGGTCTGGTGTGGAGGACTTGGCAGGTCTTTGCTGCACATTCTGCTGACGTCAGCACCCCACGATGTTGACACATGGTTAAGGGGCGGTGGCCCGAGGATCTATAGAATGTCGAAAAAAGAGCCTTCAGGAGAAGGGAGTCGATCAAGCAAGTACAAGAAACACAAGCCCTACAAAGCAACCAGCTCGCAGTTGCGGAAGTGCAGTGAAACAACGTGAGACCCGCCTGAAACAACGCGATTGTGTTGAGGTCACGGCCAAGAACTGCCCCTTAAGAGATGCTTTCTGCCTTAAGAAAGTCACATGACCAGAGCCCGAGACATGTCGCCAGTCTTGTGGCGATGCGCGCGCATGGGTCAGCTTTTCAAGCCCGTTGGCCAGTAGGAAGTCCATTTCTTCGACTCCGTTGATCGAACCAGATGTTGCATGATTCCAAGCTGACCGCATCTCAAGAGCTGCTCGTAAAGCTGGGTTTAAGGGAACGTGATGTCAAAACTGGAAAGTCTGTTCGTCCTAGTCTGCAATTCCCAGGTGGAACTGCTACAATCTTACGTGCCATTACTAACACACAAGACAACTCAATCTCCTCGGCTTTAGTGCCCTGTAATTGCCAGCTTTCACCTTTAAGAGTAGCTCGGCAAATTCTCTTTCCAGTTATTGAGTCATTAAAAGCAGCATAGCTTCTGCACACCAAAAGGCATAGCTTATGAGAAGACCGAAGCCCTCACCTCAAGAGTCCTGTTGTCACGCTTGCTTGCGCCGTCAGAATCTCGACAATACTCGGGTTAACCGTTGCATTGGGCTCCACAATTGGCGTCACGCCCCCTTGATCAACTATAACATTCTGGACTTGGATTCTAGGCGAGGGTCGGAGAGTCCTTGCAACATTGCCAATAATAAGAGCCACTGAGTAGTTCCCGTTGGGCACGTTCACATCGTACCTGCAAGGGGCACGGCAGTCGGCGAGAATAAGCCCTAGGGTGGGAAATTGCTAGTTGCATGGAATAATCGCCAGAGCCGCATCCTATGACGCCACACAACACAGGCGATCCTGTTGCTCGGCTCAATTCAATGGAAGATCCGCTCACCCAAGCAGAGCCCGTTTAAAAAGTTGCGACTACCTTTGACTAAAGCTGCACCAAGCTGGAAAACGACTTATGGGAGCCACTTCCAAATGTGAAACTGAAGTCGCTTGCTGGCCTGCAAGGATGTTTCAGGACCATTGAGACATTTCAAACTTCCTGGGAGAGGCTATGTCCACAGATAGCCCGATCTTTCAACTAAAATCCTGGTTTGGACAGTCTATAAGAGTTGCATTGTAAGTCACAACCTCGCCACCGCCCTCTTGTCACAAAAAGCCCGCTTGATCACTGGTCGATGACCCAAGCATGGTCTTCTCAATCATACTACAAACGTGCGCAGAGTTCCTGAACACGGTGGAGCCTTCAAACTCAGGGGTTTAGAATTTTCAATCTTACAATGCTGTCAGGTCATTGTCTTGCTTTCAAAGAGGCGCTTTTGTCTGCCGGGGGTGAAACAGAGTCAAGCTTTACTTTCTCCTGATGAGTGACAAGACAACAAAAAGCACAGTTTTGCAGATCTCGACCGGCATCACGTTTTCTGCTTTCGAGTGTAACTGTTACTCCTGGCTAGCTGACCTTTCAATTGCAAGCTGACCACATCAGATATGTCTGAATCGGTGGTACGACCACTTAAATCATGCAATGCAGCCAGATCTTGCCTAATGCCAATCTACACAGCCTTGCAACAGCAGTCAATTTAGACTTTTCGGCTGAGCGACTCTGTGTTGCCTAGATGACAGCATTGCTCAGGGTAGTACCCCAGGTTAAGGGCCTGGCTAGCCTAACCCTGAGCAAACCATCCTGGGCTTTCAACATAAAAAGAAGAGTCCCGTTGAACATGCAACTAAACACAATAAAGGTCACCTCTCTGCAAGCACGTTCTACACATTCTGGCTCAGATAACAGTTCTTTTAAGAGGCAAACTGCTGATCTCAAGTATGACGCTTGATTTGGGGCTCAACATTCCATATGATCTCCGAGCTGGCTTGTGAAATGCATACCTGATCAGCTGACCGGTCCTCTCAGTCGCGTACAATGCCACATCGGGCACCCCACTGAAACTGGCATTTGTGCTCAGGTTCCCGTAACTCACGATTCTTAGATCTGTGCCCGAGTAGAATGCGTCCGCCTGATAGACCATGCTAGCATTTGTGCTGCTTGTGTAATTGTTGCCTGGGGAGTAGATAGCACCGGAGGACGCATTTACACTGGAGGGGCCCCCACAGTTGATACCAAGATCAAAAGCAGCGGCAGAGGGAACAAGGAGGAGAATGGCAGAAAATAATATGGGAACAAAGGTAGCCATTGCGAGAGGACTATCTTTGAACACTCTTGTGGCTTCTTCTTACCCCAGAATTGCGACGTTCACAAAGTTCTTTTCAGGAGAGGACAGCAACATCAGCCTAGAAAAGCTTCACTCTCCACAATATTAATAAGCAAGACACCTGCAGGATTGCTTTGCCTGTTTCTTGAGCAGCTCTTCTTCAAAATTGCACTACGATGCAACCTACGGTATGCTTTCCTGATCTTGCCTTGCTCAAAACTACGGTACTAGGTCCTACCGTAGCGCAGCGTTTGATTTGACTCGAGTACATTCCTAGCTATAGGTATAACACCGACAAAACCTGTTGGTGTTGTACTACCGTACCGGTAGCTGCCGGTACGGTCAGGACTCAGGTGAAAGGTCCGCTTGTACACTTTTGCTCTCGTAACGGTACCTATGTGGGTTGTACCAGGTAGTAACAGAGTCCAGACCATAAGTTACCGGTCGGGGAAGTGCCGCAAAGCCGTCAAGCTGAGAATGTCGCCATAAGGCCAGCTGTAGAGCATGCAAAGCACCGACGTGGTACACATGTCCCATCGGTCGGTCAGGGTCCATGACACGTCGCCTAGCGATTGGCTGAGGGAGATTCCACCAGGAGTCTGTCGACAACCGGTGAGCTTCTCCCGCCGCTTTCGATAAACCTCCCCCGCTGTACGGACGTCGCATGGCCAAACACTTTGAGCCCCGGGAAGTCACACCAGTGCAAAGAATCGACCCCCACCTCAGCCTTCTGCAGACGTGTCAGAGGGTTTGCTGGGAAAGTGTACCGGGCACAGAAGCAGCACAGAAGACGGCTCACAAAAGTGCGGTAAATGTGACGGACGGTGGGGTGCTCCCGTGCTGCCATTGGTACTGCATGCTACCACAGACCTTGGAAGCACCGCGGCAATTCAAGTTGTGGTGTTGCCACTCTTGAGCTGAACCGAAGAGGAGATCAGCTGATTGCTAGCTTGCCAGTTTGCAACGCAGTCTCTTCGAAACCAGCTGGGGAATACCGTAGGACCTACCAGGAGACCCGGCCACTTTTCGAGGTGCACTGCACGACCAAGGTGGTCCCATCAGAAAGCCGTGCTTTGATCCAAGAGCTGACTGTTGATCAGGTTCCCTTAGCACCGGCATTGATCTTGGATCGAGAAAGTAGTGCACAGAACGTCTTTTTTCACGTTGCCTCACCAACTTTCGTTTGGCCAGCGAAGGCCACGATCGCCGCGAGGTTCCTCGGATCCTGATTCTATGCTTTGGTAGTTGCGGTTCTAGGATCAAGAAAGAGAGCCTCTTTCTATCCTTGACTTTGAAAAGCATATAAGGGATTATCGTAATGGCTTCATCACTGATCATCCTCCTTGTGGCGCTCCTAGCCCCATTCACACTCGCCCAGGTCCCCGCCCCCGCCCCTGTGGGAACAGCCCCCAACTCCAGCTACATTGCAATTAACTGTGGCGGTGTCACGCCGGTAAATTCCAGCATTCCAAGCTACTATGGGGGGGTGACTTATGGGGCGGGACCCTTCTATTCTCCCAACAATTCTTTGGTGTCCACCAGCAGTGCAGCCCCTGGTGTGATCTTTGCGCCTGACGCATTCTACTCGGGGGAGAGCACCAAGCCGCTGAGCTATCCGGGTCCACTGAATGCGTCGGTTCAGGACGCAGCTCTGTATCTGACGGAGCGGTATGGGCTGAATTTCAGGTGAGAAACGGGACTTTCATGAGGAACTCATGGCCTGTCCCTGCGGATGTAATATGGAGAAGGTTTGGGAGCTTCAAGAAAAGTTGTGGGCTGAGGTTCAGTTTGGTCAAGAACGATTTTCATAGAGATTGGCTCGAGGATGGGCTGTAGTGTCTGTGAAGGGTCAGCATTGTGTTTCCTCGGGCTTGATCTTGGTTTTCAAGGCGCCAGTTTGCCACCAACACCGGATCTACTTCTTGGCTGCTTCAAATCATTGTGATTAGTGGTTTGAGAATGAGGACGTTTGTTGGATGGGGAAAAGCTGTCTTGAAGCGGCCAGCAAGCTCCAGCTTCTGACGCGTGAAATCAAGGGTCATGCTGTGGTGTGATCCTCTTGGTGACGAAAGGACAAGCTCAGATGACATCAATTGCGGAGATGCAGCTCCCTTTTGGCCCCACAATTCGGTCTAGTTGTAGAGAGGCAATGCGGTTGTGATGTTCGGAGCCAGGGCATTCCGCGTGGGATGGGTTGCTGTACAATGCTGTCTACAAAGAGAACACTGCTTGCTTTTTTCCAAGTTTTCTCGAAGGCAGTGTTTACATGCAGTAGTGACTGGCAGGCCAGAGAGTGAGCTTGCTGTCGCGAAAACAGTGGAAGATCTTGATTTTTCTGCTTGCCAAACCAATTGGCGGTCTAAGATTGCGGAAATCTACATCAAAATCAACGATCTGGATCACAAGAAGCCTCCGCTGCCGATTCCTCTTCATTTGCCATCTCTATGTCTGGCTGGTTGTGAGAATCACGCGTATGGTTGACTTTAGCTTCATTGCACTGCTTACGTCCTACAATTGCGCAATGCCAGTCTTCAAATCTTTTTTACAATGCTCTCTGCCACAGGCTGCAGATGGCCTTGTTTGCCTTTGTGCCTTATGGTTGTTCTTTGTCGTGATGTTGGTTCATTCTCTCGGCACTCTCAGCGCCACTTCAAAATGGTTCTACAGAACTGTTTTCGTTCATTTCAGCAACTTTGAAAGATTAAGCTGTGATAGCCATCCACTGGTTTCTGCCAGATCCGCTTGCCCAAGTGTTATCAGTAACATTGCCTCGGGGGTGGTTCTCAATTTGTGACTATCGACATCCGCTTGATTGTATGTCGTCATACATTCAATGCGGCGCCGCCCCATCATCAGCTTTGGCTCACCTAAGCAAGCTTTTACATAATGAAGCGGAGCAGCAAGATACTCATTCTTTGGTTGAAGTGGAGAGTCCCCTGAAACACCGAGCAGGCACTCCTCCAATTCAAAATTCTTGATATCAGTCACCTATCCGACGAGGATGACTTTGGAAATTTCTTTTGTTTGGGATCTGTGATACTTGCGATCTAGTTTGCCGTATCCGAGGGCTTGCTGCCTGCTCATAACGTATGGGCCGAGACCAAGCTTTGCCCAAATTGCAGCTACACTCCACATGAGCACTCTGCTGTTGTGACCGACCTCTATTGAAGTGGCTGTTTGCAAGTTCACCCTGCCCCTAAATCAGTGATCAGACCCTATAAACCTGAAGGTAGGGCTTTGGCCATGCCTAACCAGTCCCCGCTCAATAGCAAAACTTGCCGCACCAAGTCTTGAACCCTCAATTTTCAAAAAAAGGTTCCCACTTTTCAAGTGCAATACTTGTGTTTACAGTCACTCCTCATCAATGGTGTCCTGTATGTTGGGGCAACGCATACAGTGTCAATCAAACATAGCTGCCTCCGCTCAGAGAATCTTGAAGTCCTAACCCTCTTTACTAAGGCCTTGGCACTTTGTCTTCTTGAAACAACGTTTTAGTGCCGAAGTTGACAGTTCGGCCATCCGTTTAATCTTGCCACTGCCCCCAGATGCCCCGCAGTGACCTGGTTGTCAGTCGCCAAACCCCCTTCCGGCAAGCTAACCTGACCCGATTTCTGGTTATGAGGTATGACCTCGACATTCCCAACGGCAACTACGCGGTCTTACCTTCTTTTTGAGAGTCCAGTATAACACCTCAAACCCAGTGATCTGCAGCTTTTCTACTTTTAACCTCTCAACATGTTAACAAAGCCCAAAGAGACCCAGCTTGCAGGTATGTCTTCGAGGCAATTACATGGTCTGCCACATATCGAGCCTCAATCTTCAAACCCGGCAATCTGAAAGTTTTGCTTCACTTTCTTGCAGTCTGCTGACTTCACCCAATGACTTGTTTATCCAGGTACGACTTCAACGTTCCTAACGGCAACTACACGGTCTTCCACTACTTCTCGGAGCTCCAATACAACACCATTGGCGCCCGCGTGTTCAACGTCAGCATCCAAGGCGTGGTGGTTGCTCCCTTGGTCGATATCTTTGCGCTCGCGGGCGCAAACGCGAGCCTGATCGTCCCTGTGAACACCACCGTCACAAACGGACTGCTGACGTGAGTCCTCTACCGCTGACCTCAGGTCTTTTCTGTGAAGTCGTTTCGTTGATACTGCTGTGCTTGTAGCTGCAAAGTAGAGCCCAGTGGGCTTGGTGAGCATGCTGTACTCAGTCGGGCTGCTGAAAGCCTCTTGACCGTTTCGGAAAATTGTTGTGTTCAAACTCTGTTCAAGTAGGCTACTGAGATACGTCTCCAGCGGTTTTTTGAACGCTGGAGCTGAAGGTACAAAATTTAGGTTGTTCTGATTACAAGAGACTTTGCAGCCGATTTACTACACTCTGCTCTGTGCGTACGGTTGATTCGGTCTTTAAGAACGTTTGACGAATACAGAAAATTCTCTAACCTGAGCTCACGAGAGCAAATTGACTGGCGATGTCAGGCTTTCAATCCTGACCTTCTGATACCGCAGTAGCGGTTGTGACCATTACAAAAGCCGTTACTTCCAGCTGTTCTGATATCCGGATACTTGTTATCACCCAAAAGGTGCAGGACTCATGAATGGTGTCTCTCCCGACTAAGCAGAAGATTGCAGCATCGCGCTGAATCCGTTCGCATTGTGTCCATTCGCGACTCACCGTCAAAATCTGTTGTCTCATTCCCTTTTGTCAAGCGGTTCCATCCTACTACCATCCTTCTCAGCCGCCCTAAGGCCTCAAAGCGTAAGATCGTTTCATTGCTAGCAACATCCAGAAACAATCTAAAAGGCGCCCATTCTTACTCCCTGCAGGGTCGCGTTCGCCACCGTTTTTGCCACTAACACGGCCGGCCAGGCCAAGGTGAATGCGCTCCGGATTGTTCCGCTTGCCCCGCCCGCCACGGCCTTCTCTAACACCCCTCCCTCCAGCTACCGTATCGATGCGGGTAGCAACGCTAGCTACACGTCAGCAAATGGGACCGTGTTTGCCAGAGACGCCTTCTACTCAGGTTCATGTGAGTGCCTTTCAATGACCAGCGTCACGACGATTTTGATTGTTTTGGCATTTAGTATTCAACCCATTATCTCGCCCTTGAATTGAGTTCGAAAAAGGGCTTCTCTGCTCTGCTCTGCTGTTCACACTCGCTGAGGGTTGAGACGCTTCTTGAAATTTTCAATTTGAACTACATAAGAGACGCTTTTCAAGTTTTATCGTTCTAAGTGTTTGCGCTCAAGAACCTCCGAAAGATTGTCCACGAAGATACTCTCCTTCGTTGAGTTACTTGGTTGAGGATTGCCATCGTATCCACTGCTGTGGGTTGGATCTTACAAGAGCGCACCAGTATTGAATTCTTCGAAGATTGTGTAAATACGCCCAGCAAGATCTCCACATCTGAATGTGAAAAGCCGTAAAGTGGCCAACACATCATTCGACGCCGCCTCGTCTTTCGCGTTTATAGTGAACTCAAGGATCTTCGCAACCAGCAATAAAGCTTTTTTCAGATTCCTCTGGTCACGTGGATTCCATCAGGGGCGTCCAAACATCAGAAAGGACACAGGCGTCCGTGAAGATAGTCATACACCGCACTGGCTAGCATCCGAAAACGCCAATCCCTCGATTAAAGATATCCCCGATCAACGATTGACTGTTGCACAGCCAAGCGAGGCAGATTCAAGCCGGGTCGGTGCTACTTTCACTTTTGGCGAGCTCTCTCGTCTATTGGAGAGGCAACTGTAGTCTCGAGAGACACACCCAATACGCGTTCTACTCGGTTCGAATTTCAGGACTCGTTAGCCCGCCGCCGGTGAAACATACATTGTAGTCTTCAAGCCGAGGATTGCCAAGTGAGCTGAAAACAAGGACAGCTTCCCTCAACTACTCGTTCTTTGACTAAAACTTGGAGAAACGAAACTCATCACAGCCCAGAGTTTTGTCCCAAGTGCCAGCCGCAAGGCCCCAAATCCAGTCGGATCTGGTTTTCTGAACCCGGTTTTTCCTCCCTTCGCGCAGCTGCGATTGGCAACGCCACCGTTGCAAACACCACCGCCGATGCGCCGCTTTACACCACCGTTAGGACGGGCCCCGCCTTCGCCTACTACCTTAACCTGCTCAACGGTTACTACCTGGTCACGCTCCGGTTTGCGGAGGGCCAGTTCACACTGCCGGGGCAGAGGGTGTTCTCGGTTGATGTACAGGTAAGGGATATTCTCCCGCAAGGCACTTCCTGGTGTTTCTGTCTGCAAGACTGAAGTGTTCCTAAAGTTACAATGCTGAAGTGGTTTGAAAGTGTTCGTTGACAGATGGTTGACAGGCCGAATGATGAAAATGACATTGCAATGCCGACACGAGTCAGCGTGTTCAGGCCAAGTCTGACCACGGGGGCGGTTAGGGTGGGGATTAGGTGTCTGGTATGGGCGCCTGATATTCTTTGCCGTTCATCGCTAACCTGCTTAACCGTTTTGAGTTCGCCTTCTGAACGGTTGTTCTTCATCAACCAGCACGCTCCGTTAGCCAGCACGCTGAGGAAAGCAAGTTTGTACGATAATCTATCATGAACCTCTCCCTCTTGATTCCTCTTGTTTATTCAGGGCAACCCCGCCTTCCCAGCCGTCGACATTGTCGCTAACTCCTCCGCCGGGTTACCGCTAACCCTCCGCACAACCGCGGTGGTTGCGAACGGTCAGCTCCGGATTCAGTTCACCGGACTGAACGGCACAGCGGCTTCCGTCGCCACTATTGAGGTGACGCCCCTAGTGGGCGGAACGAATACGACGGTCGCCATCGACTGCGGATCACCTATTGACGTCATCTCAGGGGACGGGATTATCTACCAAAAGGACACCTTCTTTGCTGGTGAGCGGCTTCTGCGTACCGTTTTACTTCTGGTCAATTGCTGACCTGAGGTGTAGACTTTCTCGCTGCTCTTGAAGCCTTGCTAAAAATTTGCTTGAATAAAGTCTCAGCAGGTCCAAGCCCTGACAGACTCGCTTAGAGGATGAGACTGTCTCTTAGTCAGAGCGTTTCAAGTTTCTAAATTCTAAATCCTTTCTCGAATGCTTCAACACGAAACGAGTCAACGCTTCCCGAATTGCACTGCAGGTGGCGCAGTTTCTCACTATTCAATATTCTTCGGAGCAACATGTGGACGAACCTCAACCAGGTGCAAACCGTAGGGCTGCAGGACTTCACAACCTGCAAAACTCAACGCACTTGTCCTAAATCCATTTCAGAGACCCTGTACGAAACTCGTGTCAAACGTGTCAACTTCGATTCTGCAGGTGGAGCGGCTCTTTCCACAAACCCGTACCAAACCTTCCAGCCGTTCAACCAGCAGATTGACGATTTCCTGTACCCGACCGCGCGCCAGGGCAACTTCACGTACAACGTATCGCTGCCCAATGGAGCGTATCTCGTGACGCATCACTTCGCCGAGCTGGTAGCGACCGGTGCGCAAACTAACCTGGCACTTAACCTGGCACTTACCTTGGCACTCAAACTGCCACCTAATCTGGCACTTAACGTGGCACTCAACCTGCCACCTAACCTGGCACTTAAGCTGGCACTTTAACGCTGAACGTAATTTTGCAGTAAATGCGCCTTTGAGGCCCCAAAGGTGAACGTTTTGCAATGCTTTCCTCGAGGATGCCACTGGGATCAGTCTCCTTGTTAGCATTCACGTGAAGGAGTCTTATGAGCGAATTGGGATGCAGATCGTGCTACTTACCCGCTTGTTACGCTTGATTGAGACTGTTGTGCAGAAGCGTTTATTCGAAAGGCCGTTGGTGCGGACTGGTGCTTTGTGTGAGGCACCAAAATGGCGAATTGCGTGTTTTTGTAGCGCCTGCTCGTTTGGTTTTTGGACAGAAGAGGGATTTAGCGCAGGCCTGTTCGTATCACAAGCCCCAAAAACGTTTGTCGCCTGCCCGCGTATCAGAGAAGGTGCTGACGTCTGCTGTCCCTTTGCTGACGTCAGGCCCCGGCCAGCGGATCTTCGACGTGATCCTGCAAGGCGCGACCGCCCTATCTCAGTTCGACATCTTCGCTGTGGCGGGGGGGAACGCCACGGTCTACAAAGTGCAGGTACGTATCTCGTATACGCGAGTCCGTCCTTTTTCAAGTTCAGGTAGATTGTCTTCTAAAGCAGGTACGTAGGTACCTCATTTCGGTGGTGTCGTGAGTTCTGTCAGCAGCCGAGACTTTGGCAGGTTACGTGCACGGATCTGGAAATTACGTCATGCCCTGTGGCTCGGAGATCTCGTTTGGAGAAGTTATGTCTTGACGTTTTTATCGACGGTAACATTCCAGTACTGGAAGGGTGCTTAAGTTTCGCTGAGACTCGAGCCGAATGTGCCCTTCTGAGCGTCCGTTAGAGAGGAAGCTCCGCTGCTTGGTCGTCTGGAGGGACCGATCCTCTCTGGGAATGTGTAGTCAGATGCCAGAAGCTTCAGAGTGCAAACGCGACCGTGATAAGATACAGTTGCGATTTGGACCCCTTTTTAAAGACGAGCATTTGTCGGGTTCCAACTTTCCCAAGGCTCCTCCGTTCATTGACGTTTCGAGGCTCCTCCCAAGCGGCTATTCTTCTACGTGGAGGATAGTCGTCGTACCTTCGTGCCCTCGCTTCAATCAAAGAGGCATGCCACGGCTAGCAGCGATTCGGTGACATGACACTGCTATCATCGACTGTAAACTGGGAACTTAGCGTCTCGATATTTTGCATCCTGATATATCGTTACTGTTGTAACTTCAATCATCTTTCTAACTTACTCCTTCGACATCATACGTCTTGATAACCTGTTCTGTTGTCACTTCAGATCATATTCCTAAGTTACCCCATTGGTTTCTTACATCTTTTCAACTCGTTACTGTTTTTACTTTAACTCATCTTTTCTCTTTTTCCCAACAGGCCCCCGTTAACGTCACCAACGGCTTCCTCACCGTCAGCTTCCAGACCAGCCCCGCCGCGTTTTCCCTCCCCAACGTCACGCTCTCCAACTACACTCTGGGGGGGACGAATTTCACGAACGCTCTTCTCCCCCCTATGATAAACGCCCTCCTGATTCAGCCGGGCATCCCCCCCCCGAACGCAACCGCCACTGCCCCGGCCTCTGCCCCCGCTATTGGGCTGGGTACCCTTCCGATTCCCGCTGTGACCGGTAAGTGGGGTATTTCTGCCCGGCATCTTCGCCCGAATTTGTGCCCGGTTGTGCGCCCGGTTTTGTGCCTGGTCTTCATGCCCGGTGTTTCGGCCTATCGTTGTCGCCCGTTTTTGTGCCCGGTTTGTCGGCCTGGCGTTCTTGCCCGGTATCCGTGCGCACTCTTCCTGCCCGCTTCCTCTGCCCGGCGTTTCTGCCCGTTTTTGGCCCAGTTTTTGTGCGCGGTCTTCTGTGCCCGGATTTGTGTCATCTGGGGCCGCGAGCTGCTTCAAGATGAACGCATGATTGGAGCAGATGCTGATGGGACCAATGATAAACAGCTCGAGGTGGAATAACCGGACGTCTGCCTTTCCTCGACACTTTGAAATGACCAGTGATCCTTCCAAAAGCTCTTCGCTTTCTAAGCCGAGTTGGGCCCGTACGGTTCAAAGAACTGGTGTTAGGACATGTTTCCAACCTCTTCCTCTCCCTCTTGACACACCAACAATTGCTTAAATCTGATTGACAATCTCCCCTAACCAAAATGCAAATGGATAGCCTCGGGAGTTATCCATTGGGACAAAAGTAAATTAAGCACTTGGATCAGCTGAACCGCAGAACTCCATGAAACAAATCAGCAAGTGATCAAATCAATCGTCAAATTATCCATCCTTACCCGTCCGCCCTTCATCGCAGCGGCTGTCGTCGCCCCCGCCCCCGCCGTTGTCGCCCCGCCCCCGCACCTCTAGCTTCCGCTACCCCCAACGCTTCNCTCGGCCCCNCCCGNCCAANCCGCGGCCGCCCGCGCCCCCCGCNCNCNCNCCNCCNCCNCNCNCNCNCNCNCNCNCNCNCNCNCGCGCGCGCCGCCGCG